TTTTATTGTATATTGTATATAAAAGTATTTGTTTTGTTTTAATGAAATGAATAAAGTAATTGAAAAATTGAATTGAATCAACTCTGTTCTTCATTAACAATTCAACATGGCCACCACAGCAAATGAACATTAGTCGGTGCAAAAAATGTCTATAACTTGTTCAGTTTTACAAATACCAAGGTAAAGTTTGATGTGTTAATAGACACGAGTCACGAGCACATACTGTGAGCTCATCATCTTATAAGATTGAGGAGACGGTGCACGTTATTTTCAAGGTTGGACCAAAACAGGTACAACATAAGATGATCTGTTTAAAACTCGAACATGAAGGCAAGGTGATATACATGTATGTACATTCTTTTAGGGAATGCTAGGCTTTCAATTTCACGTTTTGTTTTATGTGTATGTTTGTATAGAAAGAAAAACAGCTCTTTGTAATGATTATGACGACAGACCGATAAAGAAAACCTACTGAGCTCAGTGGCCACATCATCCAGGCAGATGTCTCTGAGGTCTGAGTCGGGATAATCTGGGTATCGGGCRAGGAACTTGTGACAGAGCAATCCCAGACTCTTGTCTTTTCTGCTTATCATTTTCTCAGACTCGTCTCCATTTTCAGAGTCCTGCAGACAAAAAAACAACAGATTAATAAAACACCTTCGACCACCTCGACTCATGAGAAGCGATGTCAGAACTCGTACCTGCGTGGGGTCAAGACCGTCCCGTTCATCGTGGTCCACACACAGCCCTTTCTCTCTGTTCCTGATCTCAGGACTAGCAGCACTGATGAGCATTTTAAGGTTGGAGGTTGGTGTCCAGGGATCGACAGAAACTACTTCCCTTCCCTTTTTAGGCGTAGTGAAGGGCCCCATTGTCAGCCGCTCCTCCCCTGAGAGTACASTCAAACCAGCTGATTTCTTTGGAGGTTTCACCACAAAAAAATCATCATCCTAGATAAATAAAAATGAAACATGAACTTTAAAAGAAAAACTTTGCATCCTTATTCAGTCATAACAACTGAGGAAAATTTATTTTCTGTACTGGCTTGTGAAAATTATATTGTCAAGATTATAAAATAAAGCCTTGTAATTAACATTTTTTGCCTTTGAATATTATATAATGCACATATCATTAAGTAATAAATTAACTTCCAGGTTAGTGAACAAAATGACTCTTTATATAACACATTCAGTAAATAATTATACATTTATTTTTAATTTATGCATAGCCTCATACTGTAAATTCAACAAGACAGCTTAGCAGCTTTACATACATTTAAAAAAATCTAAAAACACTGAGTTAAAACATATTTTAATTTTCACCCATTTCTTCATAAATACAAAAGTCAAAGTTCAATTTAAAAGTAAGTTTAAATCTTAAGAAAACGAAAAACTAATATTGGCGGTAATTGACATACATTCCAACAAATCGAGAGGTTCAACGAACAAGGAGATCCCGCCCTTTTTGTCGGAAACAGCCAATAGGAGCTCAGCACGGGACAGCAGAGCGGAAGTGAACAGTGTCCCGCGCAGGTAAACAGTTTTTGAAATGCTTGGCGCGGACCATTCGTTCCCTGTGGCCGGCGCGTTATAACAAACATTTAACAACTATGTAATAAAGATTAGACAGCGTTTACAAGRATTAAATTAGTTTTCTTTAAACGAGGACAAGTTTATAAACAAATGAGTCGTAAAACAAGTTTACCCAGAAACGTTTCGCATCAACCGCTCAAAACTTTGCCTGTCAAATCCAACTTATTCTGCCTGGGTGATGAATTAATGAGCCGCACTCAGTAACTTGCGACAACATAAAAGCTTTAGCCTCGGCTAAAAGACAAGTTTTGGTCCTGACTTTAACTCGATTTGCTGAGATAAAACACTTACCAAAACCGAGAACGACACCCTTCCTCAATCAGAGAATTCCCATCTTCGCGGTACGAGTTCAGGCTTCCAAAAAATAAAACTCCAGCTGCTAGAGACAGCGCGTTTTAACCGGAAGGATCTCCACACAGAGGCYGAATAAACATGAACTCTGTAAACCTGAATAAAATATATCTGCAGCTGCCAGTCTGACTTTCCTCCCCTACAGCCCYTTGTTGAACTTTACTGCAGTTATGAAGAAATGATGACCACAGCGTTTGACCCGCCCAGTTCGAGCATGCGCACTGACGTCGTCACGACACCGGCGCACTTCTTCCGTAGGGAGAAAGAGGCGGACCCTAATCAGACCCTTATGTTTTATTTCTGTGCGTGCAGACCTCTTCAGGTGTCGTTTGTGATGTTGTGTCAAAGTTTTAAACCGACTTTCATTTTTTTTATGTTTTCATTCTAAAGAGACAGATTTCCTTGTAACCTTTCAACATGATCAGCAGTTTTCTCTGTCTGGTTTATATCCCTTGTTACACCCTGATAGCATACTGTGTGCTTGAAAAAATAAAAAGTGAGGAAGTTGAGGACTAAAGAACGGTTAAGACAACAGAGGTGTCAAAAGTATTCACATTTATTACCCAGGTAGAAGTATCTGTAATGGAAAAGGTCTGCACAACTTTCCGCTGTCACTGTTTTGTTGAATTATTTTGATTCAGATGAAAATCCTCCCTCAACCTTCAAATCCATGACAAACCAAAACAACAACTTTGTGACATTAAGCAGGCCTTATCAAATTTGATACAGAGGAAAAACAGGCAAAATCTTAAAATTTACATTGATTGACCACTTTATGGAGCCTGGTTACCTGTGATATGGATAATATTAGCTCACACATTAAACACAACCTTACTGTATTACTGTACACAGTAATTTGGTATGTTGTATAGTAATACAGAATCTGGTGTGGTAAAAGGACATATCTGGGTAAGTGTTGAGTCCTTGTTTCCTGCAGAGGAGGTCCTGACTTCCCTGCAGGACGTGGCTCATTATTGTTGGAAGATATTTTGTGTTGTAGGTGATTTGTTGAAAGACCATTTCTTTTTCCAGCAGTACCAAGAGTTGTCCCTCCTAAAGACGACYTCTTTGGACATCTTCAAGACATTTTAAATCCTCTCAGGCAGTCTCCTTTCTYAATGTAGGTTCATTCCAGAAACGTTTATCCTATGTAATGACAGAAAACACTTTATATTTGCTTTTAATACTTTATTGAGTTAYGCGAAATATGAATTACCAAAATAGGAGCATACATATTTTGAGGATTACTGGCAGATAACTGAGGATTACTTTTATCTGCAACATTAAGGCCCATGAGACTACCCAGAGCGAGGGTGTTCCAGAGGTTGCATATTTCTCCTGTTATCTGAATAAAAACAAACTGTTCCTAAGATAAATTCAAAGCTAAATTCTGGATATTTATTTATGGAGAAATCAGTTGGATTTTGAAATKTAAAACGAAAGCTTTGAAGTTTTCCAAAAGGTGTGGTTTGTTTTTGAAGTATTTATCTGCAGACTTGAAAAAAAAAAAAGCTTCTGAAGAGGGAGGCACTTAAGTGGAAAACCTGTCACTCAAACCCAGCTGTGGATCAATATATGTAACGGTTATTAGTATCTTGTTAATCTGATGTTAACAAGATATCATTTAACTCATTCACTCTATTTCATTTCAACATTTTCTTTGTAATTTTCACATTTCCTTTGTAACACACGAAGAATTCAAAGTATAAAAGGTTTGGTAACTTAAGCTGTCAGTAAGAAAAAAAATTTTGTAGGTCTTCTGGACGGGTTCTTCTCTAATGAAACGTTTCGTCTCTCCTCCAAGAGACTTCTTCAGTC